AAGAAACCAGAAGTCAGTGTCCTTTGAGCAAGCTCATAGTATTACAGTGTTAGAAATGATCTCATGGGTAATCTTGTCTCCCTTCCCACCCAAAATAGAATCACTTCAATTTTACATTAGCTAAATATTGGTACCTGTTCATTGCCTATCGTGTAGATTTCATTCATTTATTTATTTTTCTCTTACCCTTTCTTTGACAATTGATTATCAAGACTTTCTTTGCAGACTTCCAGAGACAGGATGGCCTTAAATACTAAGGAAATATTTGAACTAACAAATGTTACTTTTTTATATATTCAAAATACATGGAGTGAATGTGTGCTTGTGTGTATGCATGCATGAAAGAGTTTTCAAGTCAAAGGTAATCACTTATTTCCCCCAAATTCTTAGATGACCACTTCTCTTCACTCCAAGATGATAACTGAGAATTCATTGTGTCTCTCATGGAGAAACATATTTTCTTTTTTGCTGTTGTTGTTCTTTGGAACAACATAATTGGTCAATGTTTTGAGTTTCTGTGCTCTTCACAGTAGCCATGGTGGAATGCAACCTAAACTTATTTTAAATTTGTCCCAAATCATTGCTAAACATCACAAAAATGGGGCCACCCACAAGCTTTCTGTCCAGTCAGTAGATAAGCAGTTCATCTCAGGCTAATACACCATTAACCTGGGGAACATTAGCACTGTTTCCTCTCTCTCTTTCCTTCCAAGAGCATTCAATGGGCAGGCTTTTCCAGGAAGTCAGCAACTCCACAGGAAGGTTTCAGAGACATATATAACAGCCTCAAAGACATCACTCAATCAGTACACATTTATTTACTGTGAGTGTCATAGTTACAATGTGTACAATTATTTTCTTCTCTTCCTGAGAGTCACTCTGGTAGAGTTGGCTCTCTAGTCACACCTGCTTTCACATCCCAGCTGTGCTGCTTATGGGTAGGGTAACCATGGATACAGTAATTAAACTCTCAGAGTCCTACTTTTCCATATCTCTAAAATGAGAGAAAATGATTCTTCCGTTATAAGATTTGTGAAGACTAAATGAGATGTGTAGATGGTAGTTCGGTCTTCCTTTTTCCTCTCTCCTGATTCCCTCATTTGTTACCATTCCACCACATTTTGGAGGCTTTTGTTTTATTTCCCTTTCTTTTTCTTCTGTTCTATATGTGGAGTGGCAGCAGGAGGCATGGCTTGGTTTCTATGATGACACTCATAGTTAATAATCTGGTAAGCCTTGTTATAGAGAAAACTAGATTCAAAGGTAAGTAGGTAGATGTGGATGTAAATATAGAGATATAAATGATTGTCCATCTAAGCCATGCAGAGTAGCAGTCTGTTTCCTAGTTTGGAGAGAAAAAATTGCCCTGGTTTTCCAGTATACTGACTTATTCATGTACTCTCCTTAGGGGGATCTGTTAAGAGCTCAGTTAGCCCTGAGGAGAGCAATGCTAGTCATGGGATTTTCACGAAAGTAGTACACATGACTCTCAACATGATCGAGTCTTTTCCCAAAGGCCTTTTTAACCTGACAATATCACTTTACCCAAAAGAGAAGGCAGCAGATAGATTAGCAACAATTCTGTTGCTAACATCAGTTCTTGCTAATCAATAGGGCGATGCAAATCAAAACCACAATGTGATATCATCTCACATCTGTTAGAACAGCTGTTATCAAAAAAGACGAGACAACAAGTGCTGTCGAGGAATGTGGAGAAATGGAACATTCCATGCACTGTTGATGGGAATGTAATTTGGTGCAGCCACTATGGAAAACAGTATGAAGATTCCTCAAGAAATAAAAAATTGAACTACCATATGGTCCAGCAATTCTCACTTCGAGGTATATAACCGAAGGAAATGAAATCACTCTCTCAAAGAGATGTCCGCACACGATGTTCACAGCAGCGTTATTTATAATAGCTAAGAAATGGAACAACCTAGGTGTCCATTGATGGATGAATAGATAAAGAAGATGTAACATATATATGCAATGGCATATTATTCAGCCATAAAAAAAAAAGGACATCTTGCCATTTGCAGCAACATGAATGAGCCTTTAGGGCATTATGCTAAGAGAAAGACAGAGAAAGACAAATACTGTATGATCTCACTTATCTTTGGAATCTTAAAAAAACCATCCTCAGAGAAACAGAGTAAATTGGTGGTTGCTGGGGGCTGTGGGTGGAGTAGAGTGGAGGGAATGGATAAAGGTGGACAAAGGCTATAAACTTCTAGTTATAAGGTGAATAAATTATGGGGATATGATATACAGCATGGTGACTATAGTTAACGATGCTGTATTGTATAGTTGAAAGTTGCTAAGAGAGTAGATCTTAAAAGTTCTCACTACACCAAAAAGGTAACTATGGAAGTGATGGATATGTTAACTAACCTTACTGTGGTGATCATTTTGCAGTGTATATGTATATCAAAACCATCATGTTATACACATTTAATCTAGACAATGATTTTGTAAATTATATCTCATTGAAACTGAGAAAAAGATTCTTACTTAATGGCTGAGAATAGTTATTCAAAAAATAATAGCAAAATAATATTTATAAGACATTGAGCACCTTGAAAATTATTGATATATGTCTAGGCCACGGGTTGATTTTCTTTCGATTTTATTATTTTTATACTAAAATGTAGTCACAAAAATATGAACTTTAATTAATTTTTTTATACTTGTATAAAATGTGATGTGTATACCTACACATACATATGTATTTATACATATCTCACATTCTGGCAATTTGATATTTTTCTGAGATATACTTGGTATAAAACTTTGTAATGTCCTCATGTATCCACTAGAGGATGCTCTGTACACATGGTTAATAGCAATTAAGCATGGGCAATGGATAAAGTCATCCTCAGCCAGAGCTCTTTATCAAAAAAGATGAGTGACTTAATCTCAACAAGTAAATTTTGACCTTGATCATAGTTTCTCGTTTTTTTCTACTCTAGAAGTTCTAGGCTGAACAGGACCTCAAAAACAAAAATCACCATGACCAAGAAAATGTAGTGTCCGTGCTTCAAAAATAACTACAGCTCAACCATGTAAAACAGGGGTTCTTCTTATTTTTAATTTAAATTAAATATGTAAAACTTCCATGGTTCAAAATGTAGAAAAGGAATGTAACGTGAAGCTTCCCTTCTAATCCCCTCTCCACCCTTTTAATGTAAACTATCCACACTATTTATCACATTGCCTTTTTTGTTTGTTTTTTGTTTTTTTGTAACTCAGCATATTTTGGAAACCACTCTTATCAGTACATAAAGAACCTCCTCATTCTTGTTTATGGCGTCACAGTATTCCATGCATGGATGTATCATACTTTATTTTTCTAATCTCCTATTGGTAACCATTTAGCTTTTTTCCCTAATCTTTGCTATTTGAAATCATGCTGCAGTGACTAGGAAAGTAAAAGGTGTATTTTTCAGCCTATTAAAGACCTGCAAAAATGGAGGCTTTTCTTGATAGCTTTCCTCTCCCAGGCATGACTACTTAGCTTATCAGGAACGTCTTTCAATGTTCTAGAAGATTTTACTGTTGAACTTCCTCCCAGTCTTTCCCCGTTGAGCACCCACTTATATTTTATGTCGTGGTTCCCTCCTCTCTCTGTTTCTCTCTTGTGACTTCTTTATCCCATTTGCTCCTCACCACCCAGCTTCTTGGGTTGGTTTCTACATCACAGAGACTCTCCTGATTTGTTGTGATTGCCTTTTCCTTATTTCCCTGTTACCTCTTTTGATTTGAAACTTCCACCTTCGTCGTTCCTGCAGCAGGCTCTTCACCAAAGATGGGCTTGAAGTGGGCACAGGTTCTTTTTCATTAAAAAAAATAAAGTGTTTTATTTTTTTAATGCAAAAAGGATAAGAAGATAAAGTTTGCCTCTAATTTGACCATTCGGAAATGTCTACTGTGTGTACTTTGGCTCGTAGGTTTTCCATTTTTATGTTGAATGTGTGAGTTATTAATTACATATGTGTATATGTGTGTAATCATTTATACCTTCTGCACACATAATACCTACATTTTGCATTAAATATAAATCTTACAAGCATTTTCTCTTGCCATTAAAATTTTTTGTAAACATTATTTTTAATGTTTTTTTGTTTTTATTTACACGAAGCATAATTCACTTTTTTAGTTGTTATTATAAATAAAGCTGCTATTAACATCTTTGCAAGTACACATTCTTGGTTAAGTCAGGACTCTGCCTGACTACTGGGTGTCCCAACTGACCATTATTTTCTACCTTCTTTTTGGGACCACTTTTCCCAGACCGATATTACTCTCTAGGCCACCCTAATTGCTTTCTTTCATGAGCTAGGGAGTGCTGTTTTGAAAGTTTACTCGAGTTTCATGTGTTAAAACTGGATCAGGTAAAAGGGTTAGGGAATAAATTAACTCTTATTGTCATATTATGTACTTGGAGCTTTATATGTGTTCTCTCATTTAATTCTCAAAATGACCTTGTGCGAAGTAGTTTCATATTCTCATTTTATAGATGAGGAAACTGAGGCTCAGAGAGGATGAGTAACTTGTTCAAGTCACATATTTGGTAAAGAACAGAGCCAGGATATGAATTCAGGTATGCTTAACTCTAAAGGCTACTACATCCACTGGAGAGATATTTTAGTAATTAATTTGGATTGTAAAATCATTTGGTAGAGACAAAAACAGTGGTGTACTGGTAAAATGGCTCTTTGGAAAACAAAACAAAAAACTTGATTTTTTTCATATTTACCAATTTCCATGGTATAAACATTTCCAACATAGCTAATTTCAAGTTGCCAACGATTTTACAACCCACTTATAAAATTCCAGTATATTTAACAATCAGTGCAAGTGGATACAAGTGGCCCCTTTATACCACTAGGCTAAAGGTTTAATTACTTACCCAGAGACATGTGTTTTCTGCACTCTGCGTTCTGATTGGTTAATTAAGAAAAAAACGATGTCCTCATTTCTAAATGAGGCAACTAGATACATCTACAAAGTCCTTCTGAAAATCAGATTCATGGCATCTTTTAGGTTTTCTGAAGTTCAGTTACTGTTAGGCCAAATATCTCTCACTCTTAAGACTTTTTTTTTTCACACGAGTGGCTTTCCGTGTTTGTAACCGACTCTGGGATTCCAGTCTTTCTCCAGAGCATAGGAATTAAGATCAAAAGACAGGCCAGTGATAAATTGTTAGGATGTGGTCAAAGATAGAAAGTTAATTCACCATGTCTGTGTTTTGTAGATTAGACTACCATCAGAATATGTAATTAGAGCTCTCTACAAACATGGTTTTAATTAATGATGCGACTAGGTGAGCAGGGGAAATGTGCAGGAATTATTCCTAGGACTTTCCGGCACTACCAGGGGGAAAACCACTTAAGAAAATCCTGATTTAACAGTAATGGAGTAAACTGTTTCTATTTCCAACAATGGTTTCAGGAAGCCAGCTGAAGCCATTATCTCCTTTCAAAACCTGTGGCCTGCCACACCTGAACATTTCTACCAGTGGTGGCTCTGTATGATTCCTGAGTCACTGCTGAAGCCATTAGCAGCCTACTTAATATTGTTCCTGTGACTGCCATGTAGAGACACAGGATTAAGTAATCTTTATGATGTATTAGTGACTGGGACGGGGACCTGGGGCTGATCTATACTTTTGCGCAGTGACTTTTTGGTGGCAGGGAGAACACAGAGTTGGCTTTACTTAATCTTGGATGGAAGATTTGCCAGGTATGGTCAGATGTAGGGAAATCTCCATCCTTCAAGTAGGAAGTAGGTATTTCCACTCTGTAGATAGTTGATGAAGAATGATGGCCCTCTAGTCATTGTCACTCTCATCGTGGGCAGCCATCTTGATAAAAGAGCTCAGTGAACTCTAATTGGATTTTTATTGCAAAGGCAATTCTCTAGTACATGCTGACATAGACAATGGGGGGAAGTCAGTTTTTGGCTGCAAGCTTGTTTCCATTGGGGAGCAGTGTGGGTGAAGGAATGTACTATGGGTAAAGGAATGTACTGAAGTTTGTCCCATCTTACCTTTCCTACCTGGATGTGCATCTGTGTTTAAAGCAATACCACCAGCTTGCAGGTATCCCTCTACAGCTACATTCTCTCATAAACACTCTGTAATTTGTCTGGGCTCCCTCTAAGTTGACCCAAGGTGACTGCAATCTGTTTTCCAACATCTTAAAGGTGTGGCTAATTAGTGCTTGTACTCTGGAACCAACCACTCTCCTGTTACACCCTCAAACTTGTTTTTTATGGAAAAGGAGGAGAAAGATGTAGGCCTTAACTTAGATACTCCCAGGACTTTATGGAGTACATTTCCCATTGACTGTCCATTTCAGTAGTGCCTAACCTATGCTGGGGAACCTGAGTCTTACCTTGCTCGGTGAAGGAACAGTTTTTTCTTACTGTATGTTTTATTTCCTAGATCACAGAAATGGAAAAGTGCAACCATGTCATTGACTGTATTGCTTTTGTCCAACCATGAGAAACATTCTCATCTCCTTCTCGAATCCCTTATTAGTGCTAAATCCTCAAAAGGACTAATTCCTTCCTCTTTTCAAAAACTACGTTTTGATAGTAGAAAATGCAGAAGGGTGGGTGTGGTGCTTCGACAATGAGGAGCAATCAAGGCCTGGTTTCTGCTTGCAAAGTGCGTAGTCCAGTTGAAAGGGATGTGTAATCATTTGCGGGATCAAGTGTGCTCTGCCTCTTGGCTCCCTGGACTTTTTCATCATCTGGATGCCAGATAAAATACAGATGTTCTGAGCTAGAAACACAGCACCAGACTATTTTCCCCTTGGCCTGCACTACCTCTTAAATGCCTGAATGGCAGACAAACTCGTTCTCAACATTTCAGTTCAGCTATAATTCACTGGAGATATCCCACTCTGAATTGAATGATTTTCTTCCCAGCTCTGTCTCTGAAACCAGCCTGTGTTCTCTGTGGCCTTTGGCTGCTGAGTTTGCAGTGGTCTCAGAATTGCTTTTCCTTTAAGTCACATATGTAGGGCTGTTGTAGTAGACAGCAGCGACAGATGACCCTTTTCTAAAATCCAGCAAGAGCCTTTCTCCTGCCCCAGATCTCCCACTCTCTCCAGCCCTTAGAAGACCCATCCTGAGCAGATCTCCTTTCAGCTGCTGTTGCTTCTGCACTGAAATGACTTTTTTTTTTTTTTTTTTAACAAATCCTTGCCTTGATATCAAATGGACAGCATCTATTTTTTTAATGAGGGTCTCTGCATGGAATATGAGTCAAATTTTTCCAGCATGAAGAAGATTTTGTTTTTTAACTACCTCAGACATGGAAAGGGCACTGAAGTTTATAATTGCAAGGAAGCCTGTGACTGAGCCTACAGGATGAGGAGGCCTATTCTGAAGACTCAGGTAGGACTGAGAATGTGTAGGTCTTACTGTTGTATCTCAAGGTTTCACATACTTCCTCCCTCCAGACCCCTCTTAGGATCCTCACTTTCTCATCTGTAACTGGAGAGGGCAACTTTTAAAAGGGAAGCTTTAATGATGGCAACTTCTAATAAGCCAGCCAGCCAGCCAGCCAGATCAGCCATTTTAGCTTAAATTCCAATACTTTAGAGCAGTTCTTCCTTGCTAACTGAAAAAGGCTACCCTACTGGCAATTTTCTTTTACCTTGATAAAGAGATACATAAATGTGATAGAAGCTATTGTGAAATCTTTGAAAAAATGATAATCTGGCTATTTCTCTATATGACTCTATGTGCTTGGAGGTCTGCTCCACCCTAGTAGAAACTCAGGTGGCCAGACCAATTGTAAATTGCTTTGGGCTTTTCTTTCTGGCCAAATGCCAGTTACAGCCCCTTCTCTCTCCTTCCCCTAGCATCAAAGAGACCCAAGCTTGATTCTCATTCAAGCTTTTGTTTCACTGCCTAGCCTTCATCCCATGGATATCCAAAAGCAAGGGTTAAAGAGGGAGGGAAAGAGGCCGAGAAGGCAGCTAGACACCTGTGATTTCCCTTAGGAGGCACATACCATTCCAGAATTTGCCTTCCATCTGGGCCTGGGTGGGACCCACACAAGTTCCATGCAGCAGCTGTAGTCCTCCTCTGCAGCTGCTGCACTTGTCGTACCCTAGGCCGGTGCAGGTTGCACAGGCTCGGTGGCAGGGTTCACATTCGCCCATCTCTGAGTCGCCATAGAAGCCAGGGTCACATTTCCTCACACAACTGCCACCTACGTAAGAGCACAGAGAGGAAACATTAAGGCGAAACTCTAGCCACTTAGCTTGGTGCTCTGTGCAGGGCCAGGTTTTGAATAGGCCAAACGGAATCTCAGGAACATTTTTGTTTGAAGTTGTTTTTAAAGAAACCAAGATGGCATTCTCTTATTTCAATGAAGAAATGTCTTAAAAGATTTAACACTTTAAGTCCTCTTTCAACTGAGAGTTTAAATTGGCTATCAGAATCTTACGTTCTTGATAAACTTCATATAAATCTCTCTATATAGAGAAAAACTGGAGATCATTGTGGGCTTTCTGCCGCACTCTCTCTCCCTTAAGTGTTCAAGTGCACTGGACTATTAGCCCTTTAATTGGAAGACACAGTATATTTCTTTCCTAACCATCCATTTCTATCAAAGTTGATGAATTGACCAAAATCTAAGAAATCTAAGACAAAGATTCTTCTTTAACTTTAACACTACTCGGGAATATATAACATGGGTTATATCTCAAGGAAAGAGTCATGGTTCTGAATATTTCAGGCGACTCGGATCCCAAAGCATTTGTCTTTAGCGTCTCTGTGCCCCAAGTTCACTCTTATTTCTATTAGCTTGGAAATATTTGAGACTAATTAATGAAACTGGAACTTTGCTTTAGTAATAAAAGCAGAAGGATGTTCTGGCTAATGTTTATTTTCAAACCAAATCAAAATTCTTGGACAAGAGGCAGCAGTTCACAAAGACCCTGAAACCAATCAAACAAGCACTCCTGTTTCTGGGTGGAGCTCTTAAACCTTGCTTTCACTTTAATGACATTTTCATGCTTACCCAAGAGAAAGAAGCCCTCTTCACACCAGTAACATTCATTCTGGTCACAGTTGCCACAGTTGGTATCACATGCTTTGCATTCAAATTCTTCACGGTAGGTCTTCTCAGGACAGGTTTTATAACAGTGGTGTTCAAACCTAGAGAAGGAGATAGAGTTTCTTCCGTGAGCTGTGTTGATGTTATTTCTCTTAACCATCATCATTTAATCTCCTTATCTATGTTTACAGATCATTTTTAACAGGTGGAGATATTTGGGTTTCAAGGAAGAAAACTTTCTCCTGATCTGTGTGAGCCCTCCAAATAAGTCACTAACCACCTCTCTCTGGATCTCTGAGGACCTGTTATCAGGGCAGCTGGGAGGAGGCTGGAGAGAAGGAAAGGGGTACTGATATTCATTTATGGAGTACTGATAATGCGTCAAGTATTATTAGTTCATTTAAACCTCAGCATAATCCCAATACAGGGGGCTATTACTTACCTTTAATTTCTAGATAAGGGACCTGAGCCTCAAGATTTCGTGCTCAAAATCACGTAGATAGTTAAAGGTGGGGCTGGGATTTCAACCAAGATTTGTTTGAACAGACAGTTTGTGTGCTTTTGCTACATGGCACCAGCAAGGTCTGAAATAGCTGTGTTGAGTACAAGTGGCTTACCAAAATGTCTATAACCAGAGTATTAATATCAACAGTAAAGTGACTTAGCTTTTATCTCTGTATATTTTCATGCATACTGTTCATTATTCCTATTCTATAGGAATTGTATTTCCGACTCCATTGAATTAACAGGCTCATTTGAAGGGGAAGTGGAATGAAGTTGACCTTTGCCCTTTGATAAATTTTGTGCCATTAACAGGATATCTGAAGCAGGCTTCTCATTTTTTCCTTAACAATTCTATTGTACAATGTTGTACAATTCAAAGTCATCACACATTCTAAAGGGTTATAAATGTGTGTTTCTTGAAACAAATATCACATGTTTTACCCTTAGTGATATTGGGCATGTCATTTTTAGCATATATTAGGCCTTCACTTAACGTGATTGATAGGTTATGTGACTTCAAGTAAAGTAATGTGAAATGAAACCAATTTTACCATAGGCTAATCGATATAAACAAGAGTTAAGTTCCTATGGCATCTCAGCATTATAACAAAATGACGTTGTATGGAATTACATTATTCAGACTTGTTGTATTTGTTTTTCAAAGGGTTTTATGAAATCTGCTCATTAATGGTGAGCTGGAGAGGCTAACAGAGTTGGCTCCAAAGTTTAACAGAGGATATTGTCAGGTGACAAAAGAAGTAGGTGCTGGTCAAAGGGTATGTTCTAGTGTCAAAATCAAGAAGGGTAGAGTTAGGCTGAAGGTATGCAGAGTCATATGGGGGACAAAGGAGAATTTCTCTCACATACTTCTACACGATCACGCTTTCTTTGAGGCTATGTCCTCCTTCCTTGGTTCTCTGAGGAACATTTTATGTCCCCAACCGTCTGATCTTATCAAGAAATGCTTGTATCTCTGCTGTCTGTCTCTGCTTGGGGTATCTGTGGCAGGCCATATGCTGGGTAAATGCCAACTGCAAACATGCTGACAAATTCCTTTCTGCTTGTTTACTGTTGTCTGGTCTACCTTCTAATAGTCAAATCTGGGGCCTCTTCTCTACCCATCCTCCCCTGTTTAAATGGAACATTAATTTAAATCAGTAGGTCAGGAGTGTAGTGATATAGAGACATGGTCAATGTAGAGAATAATAGGCAACTCTGAGAAAGTTGAATTAAAAGGTTAAAAATGAACAGGACAAACAAACAGGTACTCATGGACATGGACTATAGACTAGTGGTTACCAGAGGGTAGAGGGTGGAGGGAAGGGGGAGCGGGGAGATAGATGGGATAAAGGGGGTCAAATATGTGGTGACAGAAAGAAATATAACTATGGGAGGTGAACACACAGTGTAAATATATATATATACACACACACACACATATATATATATACAGGCCTTACTGTTAAAGTATACAGCTGAAACTTATTGGATTTCATTAACCAATGTCACCATAAAAAAATAATTAATTTTTAAAAACCCTATAAAGTTAAGTAATGATAAAGTTAGCTGATCATTTATAATATGTTTCAGCTTATTCGGTTTCCCTTTCCCTCCCATCCACCTCACCCCTTTTAATGTCCTCTCACCCACTGTCACATTTTAAGACCCTTGGAATCAAGTCCACCAAAGATGAGGTGACCCAAATCTAGACCCTACCCTAGCTCTTGGTGCAACATAAATGGATCTATAGCCTCTCTGAGCTTCAGTTTTCTCTTCTGTAGAATAACATCAATCTTGTGTCCTTGACAACATTCATGGAAAGGTGAAGAGAAGAAAGGGATGTGAGAGTTTGTTTATCATAAAACTCCCAGTTCTTAGGATGACAGGGAGGAATTATGTAGTCTATGCATTATGTGGGTCTACCCTTTCTTTTCATCTCCTTTCTTTACTTAGTTTTTCTTCCAAGATAGGCACCAATGTACCCTGTAAGAGAGACTAGAATAGGAAGTGGAAGTGATATTGAGACAACTATTTGATTTGTAGATTTGTATTACAGAACTTCGTGGGTGATGGTTACCTGCATTTTGTTTAACCTAGTGATCTGTGTCTCTCATTACCTAGGGTGTGATTGAGAGCTAATGTAGCACCTGGCTTTATCCTGGTCTGTCCAACTCTTGTTAAGAACAAGGTCTCCTCCATGCAGACTCTGGAAACAGCTTGCTTGAGGTTGGGTATATTATTAAAGTCTGTCCAGAACCACCAAGGTCTGAATCTTGGTAACCCGTGGCAAGATTCCTAGACACCAGTGTCAGGTTGAGTGACTTCCAGGACCAAGAAAGAGAAGGCCTCCTTTCCAGGCAAGAAAACAGCTAGGCTCTTAACTGCTAAATCCAAGAATTGTTCATTAATAGCCTACAGGGCAGAGTTGCTTCAGGCTACAGGGCCTCTTTCCTTTAATCACTGATTTAGGGTTAAGTCAGTAATGCTTAAACTGCAGAAAAGTTAGTGCCATGAAAAAGAAGGCCAGACTTACATGTAGTACCCTGTAGCGCATGATGTGCAGGTTCCTGGATCATCTGGAAAAAAATTATAAGAATGAAAAATAATAAAGAGTTCATCATTTGTGAAAATGGGTTTGGGAAAGTTTTGGCTTGGGACAAATAATCTTCTGGGATAGTTTTATGAAATGTACTGTCCAGAAATAGTCTTAGAACAGATTGCACTATTTTCAGTGAGTAACAAGATATACACAATGATTTATCTTTATCAAAGCTAGTAAAATAAGAGGCCTCATAAGTGCTGGCCCTCACTTTCAAGGATGAGTAGGCCCAAGCTACTGGGTCTTCAAATTGTAGATCAAGAACCATTCACTTTGAGGAACTCCTGGTCTCTGTCGAGGTAAAGGCATCAAGCGCACTTACTCGCTTGCTCTCTCTCTCTCTCTCTCCCTCCCTCACCCTTTCCCTCTCCCTCTCTCTGTCTCTCTCTCTCAGAAAGGGCTTCAGGCTTTCGACCCTGAATAGTAGGTTTTCCGTGAATTACCCCAAATGCCTGCCAGTGTGAGAGATTGTAGGGAGGCTTCTTTGAAATCTGGACAATTGTTTTTTTCCAATACGGTATCCACTTTGTGTTCTGTAGTTCAAAACCCTCTTAAAGAAACTGTCCTGTTCTCATTAAGTATAATGATTCAATGTGTCCCTGTTGGCTCAGGGGACTCTTTCCTACAGCTTTCAGGGAACTTAATGAGAGAGAAATCACTAACTCAGTCTACTTCCCTCCTTCTTAACCCTCCCTGAAAATTCCCAGGTCCAATTATTAAAGGAATTCTATGACTTCTCTGGTTTACAATTTTTCTGAGTGAGAGTTACTGTTAGCAAGTTCTTTCTATCTGTTATAGTCCTTCTCTTTTCATTCTAATAGGAGATGGAAAACAATTGTTCCTCTTTAAAACATTTTCTTGGTATGTAAAGATTTTATGTCACCTTTAACTAGATTTAAAGTAAACGAAATGATGTCCTTTGAACTTTGTGCTTAGCTTTCCTTTCTGATCTACTTTAGGTTCTAGCTTGGTTTCACAGAGTCTGCCCCTTAGTGATAGAGCCTTGACTGAATCTTTAGTCAAACATTGGGTCCTCCTAGGGTTCTTGCAAGACAGCATATTATATATTACACATAATACAACTAATGCATTGCACCAAAAGTTATAGTGGAAACATTTCTAGAAGAGGCTCTGCCATTTACACAGGTATTCCCAGAACCTTCTGGAAGTAGCCTAGTGATCATGCAGTGGAGAGGGTACTGGTCTGGAACTGGGCTGCCTGTCTCTAGTTTGAGGTTTTAATCTTGGCGTAACTCTCTTGTGAACTTGCATAAATGGCTATGTTCTTATTTCTGTGGTCGTAAAATGATCTGGTTGCTAAGCCTTCCCCAAAATCGAAGATTCTGGAGCTGAGTCTAGCAAGACTTGGCAAACTATGGCCAACCCTAGGGCCAGATCTGGCTCTGCCCTTTTGTTTACATATCACCTACAAAACCTTTTATGCTACACCATCATTTGAATAGTTACAACAGATATAGGAAATACTATCTGTCACTCTATAAAAAAAGTTTGCTGGCCTCTGGCTAGAGCACTGGTGGCTCATGACTTTGTCATGTTCACCTTTGTTAGATAACACAGGTGTAAATGTTATTTATTTATTTTTTTAACTACTGGCCCCAGAGTTCCTCTTAGGGAGAAAACTTTTTTTTTTTTTTTTAATGAAAGAGCATATTTTGGAATAGAAGTTTGATGGGAAAGACTGAACAAGACCCAAGACAACCAAAAAGATAGCCAGGCCCTTTTGTATGTAGGAGGCCATGATTTGCTCATGGTAGGAAAATGGTTTTCATGTCTAGGTGAACATGGTTTGTTACAGGGTAACTAGAGGAGGAAAATGGAATGAACCATAAGCTAGGCTAATTAAGTGGAATCAGAAATCTGAAGAGAGAGGTACCATGAGAAAGAAAAGCTCAGTGGAATTCTTTAAATTCTTGGTGGAGGGATTTCTGCATCCACAGTTCATGAATTGAGAATCCATTTTAAAGGGGTGCAAAGGTCCCAATGAACACTAGTTGTTCCACTGGGTAAGTATTTTCCTGCTGCAAGTCTGTGTTGGAATCTACATTCTTTTCAGGTCTGTTCCTGAATAAGTTACTACTACTCAGCTCGCTTTGGGGCAGCTTACTTTTCCCTGCCTGTCCCCGATGAACATATTTGACTCTGACAGTTTTGCTAATTTGGCAAGGGCTAAGGAAATTCTAATCCTGTTCTCTAATGTTCTGGCCATTCTTCCCATCTAGGAATTTAATGAGTTTGCTCTCTGCTCCTTTAAACAGGTCACTGATGAAAATGTTAAATAGAACCAACCCTCAGAAATATGCATACCAATATAATCTTGAGTCCAGGGACTTTTCCAGCCCAGTTGCACAGTGAATTTGGTACTTTCACAACAGTTTGCATAAATGAATAATGCATAGAACAGGAACTGTGTCCTATAACAGCTTATGAATGCCCATTAGTCTTTCTCATTATTACCAGTTGTTCAAAAGAGTAAGAATTATTTTTTAAAACATTTTCATCCCAGAAGACCCGTAAGTCAGACATAAACTAAATGGATTTAGTTTGACCCCTGAGAGGTAGCTGTTATAAGATTAAAGAAAGGTAACAATCCCAAACCTAGAAGTTGACTCTAAGTCAAGTTGGCATTTGGATGTAAAGAAGGGTGGCTTAAGGAGAAAGATGAATTTTCCTGGCTGTGTGTGTGTGTGTGTGTGTGTGTGTGTGTGTGTGTGTGTGGTGGTAGGTGAGAAATGGAAGAGTCTAAACAACCTAGGATTTGTGTGTGTGTGTGTGTGTGTGTGGTGGTGGTGGTAGGTGAGAAATGGAAGAGTCTAAACAAGCTAGGATGATTAACTGTCTTGGAAGGTATTATCCAAAGTAGGATGTTTAAATAGCTCTGGTTATTTGATCTTGTCAAACTTCTGAGCTGAGAGAGCATGTTTTGAAGAGGAAGGAGGCAAGTTCAGTCAGAATTCAGAGAGAGCCTCACACATTTGGAAAAAAGCCTTCTGAAACAGTTACTGGCTTCCAGTTGCTGACATCCCCGCTAAGGAGAATGTGTGTGCAGATGCCTTGTCAAGATGGAGATACAGCCTTCATTTCTTAAAAAAAAAAAAAAATTTATTTTATGATTTCATTTTTATGGGGTGGGATAGGCAGGACTACAATATCTACTGTGTCTTAAGAGGTCTTCATGCTTTTCCCCATCATCTTTCCACTGTTTCCTTGTTGATCATCAGAGTTAGAATCATTGTGAACTCATTGCCCTCATGGAGACATTAGCTCCTGTGATCCACATACCTTCAGTGGTCAGCTGACACTCTCTGCCATTGTACCGTGTTTTCAGAAACACCTATAGCCTTCACCACTGAATGTGGATGGATCAAGGTTACATTCGGAGTTATGTACATTTTACTTAAAAAGTGTATTGGAAAAGGGATATTTTAAAATTGAGATGGAACTGAACATTTAAAAATGTCCAGAGAAAAATAATTTATTTTTATGGTTTACATAAGTTTTGAGTCACAGTATTAAAGAGACATACAAGCTAAAATGACTCTAGATTGCTTTTTTTTAATTTATTGTTCTTATTGTATATTTATTTTTCATTTGGGGGAGACAGAAGAAGCTTAGTGTCTTAAGAGTAGCCCTTTATCATATAATGTCTAGATATGATAGAATTAGCCATGGATGAGACAAACTGTTTAGGCAGAACTGACTCTGCACAACTGTGGGGAAAAGTTAATATCAGGGTACTCCTATCTTACCTTTGGCTCTTTTTTCAAGATTATTTTCAGGCATCTAGGTCTTTCATTCATTCCCAATGCTAGCCCTCCCTCTACCACTGCCTATTGAAACCTATCTGCCCTGTGTTCCATTTATGCAAAGGACTTCTGAGTTACTGCCTAGGCTGATGACTAATAGGCATGTTAAACTTGTGCTCTTGGGAGGCTCTTGGGGTCTCACCTACCTCAATACCTTCTTGGGTATTCTAGACTCATTAGGTACTTTCTACCTTGACTTAGGACACAACTGTACATGTTCCAGAAAACAGCACACACCTTATTGTAATTCAACATACCCTGCTTTTCCCAGATGATCTCAGACTTTGGCTCAATCACCTTCCCAGATCCAATCACCTATATTCTAGGCTTGACCAAATTTGGGGTTCTATTTTCCTTCTCAATGCCTTTCATACTTAGGTACAGTATTAGACCAAACTGATACTCCACCCATACTCATAGGTTTTTAGACCTAGTAGCTCTCCAAGCTCCATGATAACAGAAATCTAAAGCAGTAAATTCCATACTTTTTTGACTGATCACTCCATTGGTTTTAAAAAAATTAGTATGTACCTGCAATGCATATATATATGTATGTGTGTAAATTATTTCTATATACTGATGTATGAATATTTTACATATCTTAAAAAGGAATGCAAAAGTTGAAAATTTGAGTGGATAACATAAAAATAATTGTGAATATAGTTCTATTTTTCCTGTAACCTAGTCAGTTGTCTTGCACACTTCCCATTGGAGACCAGTGACTCAGGCCACACCTAACCAAATGCCACATCTGAGCTAATGAATTCATGTATTAACTTTCCAAAATTATGTTTTACATTCGGTTCCTTAGAGTTATAACTGGAAGGAATGGCTCTCTGATGGGTTCATTCATCTATATGTATATAAGGACTTCCTGCACTTGACTTTCAGCCCTTCTTTATTTATAAATTGAATATATGTTTCTAATTAACTTGTTAACTTATCATTTTTAGATTGGGCGATAAGATGAAAATATAGATCTGAGTGAACGTGTTTGAGTAATATGACTAGATTCTACTTTTCCCACTTTTCTACCATCCTCTATAGCTTTAGTATAAATTTGTTCTCTGAAACAAACTTTCTAGATGAAAATAACCACTGATAATGTCCCTATGAAAGGCAACCTAAAAGTTCATCTGTTGGAAATAGGTTT